CCACTACATTGGTCTCTTGCCCTCAGGAGGTGGCTAGTCCACACCACTATCATTAGCTTTGGCTCTCCCAGTATTGGCCTGAATCAGGCTGCAGCCTTCTCAGTCCCTGAACCTCAGGCCGAGCTGTCTGACAATCAGTACCCTGCCAGGCACCACTCCCTGGGCTTCATACTTACCCTGTAACTACAACTGTCCTCCAGTTAAGTTAAAGTAAGCAATGCCAGCCCAATGTTTGAAATAGCCAAGTCGTTGCCAAAACCCCTTCCCCAGTCTCCAGCTGTCTCTGAACCCCTGGGGTACCTGCTCTGACCTGCTGCTCTTCCCCCCCCCACCTACCTACACAGGCAGGAACTCTTCTTCATGCAGAGTTCAAGACTGCACTACCCTTCTGCATCAGGAACTCAGGCTTATAGCTCCTGAGTTGCTCCTCCTCTGGTCAGGTGCTCTCCTGATCAGTCACAGACTTGCTCTCTCAGCTTGATGGACAGTTTACTGCACCTAGGCTACAGTTGCTGCCTTGCTATCTTCCCTCTTGCAGCTAATCCCTGTTCAGCTGCTTGGGGCCCTTTCTGCTGTAGTCTCCTTCCTAAAGTAATAGGAGTCCCTGGCTCCCTGTTACAGAGGAATGCCTAAGTTTTTTCCACCTTATTACATAAAAACATATACACATTAATGCTTTTAACTTTGTTTCTTTGAGCATTTTATGTTTCCTGAAATTGAGAAAACCTATACAGTGAGTTCAGCTGTAGAAGCCTTGAAACTGAGTCAGTTTAATAAACTATGCAGTTAAAGGGACTACAGTTATATTACAAAGTAATCAGCAGGACTAGAGTTCATATGGATGTATGGGTTATGTATGGGCTATTCAGAAAACCAAAGTTTGCTACAATGTAAACAAAAGGCAAAACACTTGGAGTCAGCTTCACATTATCCAGTTAAGCAAATCATAAATGTATTCAGTATGCACATAAGCAGAGCACACAGTGTGTTGTTCTCAAAAGACCAAGGAGTTAAGCTTATAGAATAATAATGTGTGTTTATTCAGAGAGCAGTTCCCTGACTACAGTTCTGCTGTTCCCCCCTGCAATCCCCCAGCCAATGTAACAACTTATACATAACACTCTTAAAGGTATCCACACATTTTCCCCCTCTCCATGTAACATATCCCCATATAATACTAATATTGGCAGTTTAGTTCAACCCATAGTTAAGACACATTTTAACAAGTCTGTATTAGTCTTTGTGTTGGCTTTTTAGCTCTAGGGGTGTGTGTAGATGACACAGGCATTAATATAGACCGCCTGATGTGGAGGGCCAGTAGGGGGTGCTCCTGCATTGAGCCACCCTCCTCACCGCACCCGACCACCTTCCAGGCTCTGAGTGCCTCCCTGGGGGCACCTTACGTCTGGCCGATCCCCTTCCTGGAGCACACCTGCTAGCCTGGGGGTAGAGCTGTCACCACTCAGGGATGGGCTTGAGTCTAGCACAATGTCCCCTGGAAAACACAGGCCTAGTAGCCCTCGACGGTACTTAACTCACTTCAAGAACTTGGGGTGCTTCCCTCAGTTGGAAGCACAAGTAGCGGTCTCCCTTTGACATCTGAACCAAGGGGACCCCAAGGCATGATCTAGACCCACTCCCAATAAGTCTCTCACACTAGGTACAAAGGAGAACTTTATTGGTTACAAGGAGTAGGTTTAGTATAGGGTACAAGATAGAGCAATATCAGAGAAATCCCATAGAGCAAACATGGTGACTGGAGTAGCCTTTGATCACGCATCTGAGTTACTGCAAGTTATAGATCTAGTTAGATCTCAGGTAGCTTACTCACAAGTGTCATCCAGAGGCAGGTGGAGATTCCCTCTGGAGGCAGGCAGTTCATTGATCATAAGTTTTGAGAGAGGGAGCAAGTTTCAGATGGTCCAGCTCCTCTCTCTCTCTGATTTTTCCTCATGGCTGCTGCCCCCTCCTCCTGGGCAGTCCTTATATAGCACTTGTGACCTCATTTACCTGGTCCAACGGAGGCCAGCACCTGTTGGCTGTCAGCCAACCAATTTGAAATGAATCACTGGTTGCTGGGCAGACTGGCAGTGTTTAGCCTACCAGGGAGCCCAAGCCCCTCACCCAGGTATGTGATGCCAGTCACATAGGCAGAGGGAGCCGGTTTCACCCTGTACTCAGGAATGTATCCAACTCAGGTTACCTAAAGAGATAGGGTAAGGTGTGTATCCCCTGCTGGGCCCATCCTAACCAAATTGTCACAGAGCAGAGTTTTTGGGGAGAAACAGAGGTGGCATTCTGCCACACCTGAAAATTTTAACGCAGCTTTTTTTTTGGTGGGGTGTTTTTGTTTGCAAGACAGAGCCCTCATGTTCGCATGAACGGCACTTTTGAGCAAGTTATACTTCGTGTGTCATTCCCCGCAGATTTCAGTGGGGGGGGGGGGGGGGGGCAACAAATACCAATTTACCCCCTGTAATGTCTTTCCCAATGTACTACAGCAAGAGGTGCATGTAAACCACCCAGGCTCCCAGTGCCTGCCCCTGGACTCTCACTGGGCAGTCCTGACTCTCACTGGGAGTCTCCCCTGGGCACGGGCATGGTCACCCCAAAATCCTTGTCACTTGCACCTGCCTATGCTTGGTCAGTCTGGTCTCTCTCCATCAGTACACAATCCCAAAGACCCCATCCCAACCCCGAAGACAAGCCGCTTGAATCCTCCCCTCCCATTACTTTCCCTTCCCATCCCACCATGTTACAAATATATGTGTTTTTTATTTTATTTGCTATAACTGCTATAATAACTGCTATGATACCATAAAATATTCAGGGTTTAGAGTAGCAGGTGGGTGGGTGGGTGGGTATATGTTGCTTGCCAGTTGATTCACAGTTGCTGTTGATGTTGGTGATGGTGGCGAGCTCTTCTGGCTTTTTTTTTTCCTGGGTTTTTTTTTTTTGGACTATATTTCCCAGCATTCCCAAGCTGCTATAACTGCTATAATAACTGCTATGATACCATAAAATATTCAGGGTTTAGAGTAGCAGGTGGGTGGGTGGGTGGGTATATGTTGCTTGCCAGTTGATTCACAGTTGCTGTTGATGTTGGTGATGGTGGCGAGCTCTTCTGGCTTTTTTTTTTCCTGGGTTTTTTTTTTTTGGACTATATTTCCCAGCATTCCCAAGCTCATTGATCTTTGTGCGGTTTCTAATGGGGGTTCCCTCTCTCCCCACAATGGGGGAACCCTCCTGTTCCCTGCCAGGTACACTGTCAATCTGTTTGTGTAGTGCCACATACAGCTTTTGGAGGTGTGTTGTGAATTGTTTTATAAATGTTTTCAGAATGTTTTTGAAAATGTGGGTTGCTGTTCAGCTTGGTCCCCCCACCCACCTAGCCCACTCAGAGTTATAACTAACTATAATAGTTAACCTTCTCACCCATGGTGGGGAGCGGCTTTTTCAGATGTGGGTGACCGTGCCTGACTCCCTCCCTCTCACCCTTCCACCATGCAGCCGTCCATCGATCTATATCATATCAAGGGATTACTCAAGGGCCCTTGGGAGCATATTGTGAATTGTTGTTTTACCCTATTGTATTGTGTTTGCTGGCAATGACTGTATTGTAAAAAAATGTATTAACTAGTTGACTACCAACACCATTGTTGAGTAAAAAAAAAGCCTATACTGTTTTAGCTTTATTGTGATTTCTCAGTTGAATTTATTGCAATTCAATTTATTGTGAAAAAGATGAGGAATAAAAAATACTGATTTGTACTTGCTCCTGCTTGATTTCAAGGCATGGACCTGGGAGCAGGGGAGTGGTTTGCAGCTGGCCAGGGGCAGGAGTGAAGTAGCTTCACAGGCTGAACACAAAGATGGTCAGGGCCCGTATTTCAGATTGGTTGACTTCCCCTCCAGGCACCTCAGTAATAAGTCTGGAGATAGCCCTCTGCTACATAACACTTCTGGCCTCTCTATAGGGAGCAGAGTGCTTTTTGAAACCCTGGCCTTGGCTAATTAGCAGCTGCCTGCCTAGCTGAGACCCATCAGATGAGGACATACCAATACCTAGTATAGGAGAAGGAGGTATTACACATTTCTTGAATTTGGATGAAAAGAAGTTCTCCCACAATGATGCTTTCTTTCAATACACTTGATTCTGCAGAGGCCTAGAGGTAGCTGAAGAGATTACCCTGGGCTGCCTTGGGAGTGCTGCTCCTCATTTCCCTCACCTTCTCCATGTCCTTTGAGAAGGCTGAGAGGAGAGATATGGCAAGGGAGGACAAAGCTATCCTGAACAAAATATGATGATCTCTCTCCAGTGGGGGGAGCGGGTTGCAGTTGACAGGGGGTGGGGGGGGTCCTGCAAACCCGGCTCCAGAAGGTGCTGCATGCAGGGTTTTGAAAGGAAAACATTGCATTGCAAAGAAAGCATTGAAAAAAAATCATTTTTGCATCACAGCTCCCATAACAGTACAGCCTGCAAAGAAAAAACTCAGAAAAAACGCTATTTGGAGCTGTGGCAGCAGGCATTAACCCCAACCCCCCACCGCCCTTGGCGACTGTGCATATGAAATATATTATAATGCATTAAAGACTTACTAAAGTCTTTAAAGACTTGCTAAAGGCCAAAGGCCCTGGGAGGTCCATGCATGGAGATGTTATGCAGATTGTTTGCTTGCTGCTGGGGGTGGGTGGGGTTGTTTAGTCTTTTTTCTTACAAGACATGCTGGCTGCACCACACCCTAGCTAGCAGTTAACAAGCATTTAACCTTCCTACCTCCAATAACAGTCCACTTTGCAACTCTTTGCAACTTTTTGCAAATCTTGCCAGTAATGCCATGACTCCATAACCCCCATCCCCCCAATCACAGCATCCCCACAATGAGGTGGGCAGTCTCTGAAAACCAACCCAACCCAACCACGCACCCACCCCAGAGAAAACATGACACATATAGAGAGCAAAAATAAAACACTTTACTGAAAATGTTGGAGCCTTATCAATAACTATATACAATTTAACAATATACAATATATACAAAATGTAAGAAAATGTAAAACCCCTTGAAGATATTTCACTGTACTTTCCTCTTCACTATTTTCATTCACTACTGGGCTGTGGGCTGGTTGCCAGCCTCAGCAAGTTCCACCCACAAAAGTTTTCTGCGAGGAGGGGGAAAAAGGAAGAAGAGGAAGAAGAGGGTGGGGGTTGGCACACAGTCAAAAAAACGGACTCCCCCCCGCCCACATACAGACACAAGGTCGGTGGGACATATTACTTAAATATCACTCGAGACACTGCATATCCTGGGTGTTGGGTCTGGCAGGCAGCATCCTGCCCCTGGACTTTTGGTCACGGTTCTGAAATGGAATGTGATGAAGTTCAGAAGGTTTGCAATACTGAAGGAAGTCATGTAACCACTCACTCCAAAGTTTCAAACTACTTGCAAAAAACTTACCATTGCAGTGATGCTGCAGCTGTCGTTGGGCACTATGTCCACTGCATTGGCAGCATACGACAGGGAGTGCAGAGGTCGCAGGTGGAGGGAACATGGGGGTGGTGGGAGGACAGAAGGGTACATGGGTGAGGGGGAAGACATACACTATAGGCAGTGAAGGAAGAAGAACTAAGAGGGGAGAGAAAATTAAAGGATTATTTGTGTCCCCCATTATAAAATAATAATTGTTCTGAGCAGACCTGTCCTGACCTGAACTGCATGCTGTGAGGGAGGAGGGAGGGGTGAGGAGGGTAAAAAAAGAACACCCAGTGGTACCTACTGGCTAAAGGCTGGAACACAGCACCCCCTCTTGGCAAAGGGGATTAATTAGAAGTCTTTGGAGTCTCTGGCTGTTTGCACAAACAAATCCACAGTTGGAGTGGCATAACTGGAGAGTGCAGCAAATTAACACATCTCTGAGTAGTGTTAGTTTAAGGTGCTTAATGGGCTTTGGTGTGGTGGGAAATCCCAGGTTGTGCAAACACAAATGCAGTTGCATTAACGTAAATGGGAAATACTATTTCATCTACACATGTTCTAAGTGATCTTCTCAGTTTCTCTTTATTCTCAATCCTTATCGGTTCAGTTTTTGTTTGGTTTCCTTGTTCAGATGTCTCTACTTCTGTGTCATTTTCAATCTCCTCTGTTGTTTCTTGTTGCTTTGATGTAAGCTCTGTTTTCTTTGGTGAATCACCTGACCCTGTACTTTTCTCATGTTAATGAGCTGCAAGTGTCATCAGTTCCTTCTAAACACCTGTCCTTCGTGTGTGACTACTGTATAGGATCCTGGAGTTACTTGATGGGAAACTAGTGTTTTTTGTTTCCATGTTTGTCCATCTGAAATAAGCATCGTATCTTTGTTGTGCAGTTGTGGTAATTCCCTGGAACGCCTGTAATAGTACCATTCCTGTTTGAGTTTGTTGAATTTTTTTAATGTTTTCATGTCTTGTTTTTCATTCTGATGAGCATCATCTACAAGATGTAGCAGTCTGGTTTTGAGTTTCCTGTTAAAAAGGATTTCTGTTGGGGACAATCCATGTTTCATGGCCAGGTCCCTCCTGGAGAAGTTCCCAAACCCCCTTCCCGACCATTAAGGGCCAGTGGCAAGCGCAGTGGGAAGGGGTCCATAGCTGGGGATGGGAAGGGCAAGGGCCATGCCCCCAAGCCTAGACCACCAGCACCTGAGGGGACCAGGTATGCCACGCCAACTGGCACACCCACTCAGCCTGTACCTGACCCTAGCCCCAGCCCCACCAATGCAGCCCCACAGCAGGGGAACCACAACTATGCACAGGTGGCTACAGGGTAAATTACAGCTGTGGGGCCTGAACCCTCCAACACTGGCCCTTCCGGCTCAGGCAGCAGGGCCCCCTTTCTGGCACCCCATAGGCATGGGGTGAAGTGCCAACTGCCCAGATGGGAGACCCTGCATTTTGAGACCTAGGTGCAGGCCCTGGCTCAGGTAGTGGGGGGCCCCAAGATTGTGGTGGTCTCTTGCTTTCATGGCAAGGGGGTCTTTTTCCTTGCTTTGGAGGCCACTGTACAAAGGCAGTGCAGAGGGGGATTGTGGTGGAGGGTGAGTATGTCCCCCTTGAGCCCCTAGAAGAGTTGGGGATTAGAGTGGTCCTTAGCTCTGTCCCACCTTATATCCCCAATTAGGCCTTGCTCCCCCATCTCCAAACCCTGGGGATAGTTATCTCTCTGGTGGTGGCCCTCTTACTTGGGTGCTAAGACCCCAGCCTCTGCCATGTGCGCTCATGCCATCATCAGGTCATAATCCAGCTGGTGGTGGGAACACAGCTGGAGGTCAAGGGCAGCCTCATAATTACTTTTCAGGGGACCCTATTGAAGACTTTCTATACACTGGGGGACCCAAGGTGCTTGTGGTGCTGTGCCCTGGGGCACTTGCATCATGAATGCCCCATGGGTCAGCTGGGAAGAGGGTCCAAAGGTCCCACTGGCAAAAGGGGTGCCCCTACCCCCAGCTTCCCCCCCCGCACTGTAACTACCCCACCTCCCCAACCCTGACCTTCTACTGGAGCCTGTCCACCTGAGGACTTCCCCATGGCTGAGTGGGTGCTGGTCCCCTCCAGGTGCAAAGCCAAGAGAAAGGCTCGGGCACAGCTGGAGCCCTCTGATATAGAGGACCCCCCCCCCCCCCCCCAACCCCCTACACACCCCCACGCCCACGAACCCCCAGGGAAGATTAAATAGACTATCCCAGTAAAGGAGGCTTCAGGACTGCTGGACACTCCCAAACAGGAGCCCATGCAGGAAGTCCCTCACTCCACTGGCCAGGGCCTACCCTCTGAGACCATGGGTGCTGAGGTTGACCCAGAAGAATGTATGGCAGCAGAGCCCTCCCCCTCTGATGACCTGGGGGAGACAGGGGCCCTGGGGCTCACCCTGGTGGGCCCTGAACATGGAGGTCCCCTTTCCCAGGACCCTGAGGCAGACACCAAAACCACCATGGTGCCTGATGGGTCTCCTCCCTCATGCTCCCACAAAAACCTCAAGTCCAGCCTGTCTGATGGTCCTGCACCAGGGGTGTAGGGTTGGGTCCCCTGATCAACAAGTGGTTCTTGTTGGGGACCCTGCACAGACCCCCCTGGAAATCCAGCTCTACCCCACCATGTTGTCAAGAAGCCCCACCCCCATCTTTACCCCCACCCTTGTCCCAAGGGACTGCAGAGCTCTCCCAATCCCAACCAGAGTCCAGAGTCTTAGTGGACCGAGGGATTCAGATGGTACCTAAGGAGCCCTCTGAGCCCCAGCACCAGGAGAAGGATGCTCAAGAACCAGCAGGCTCCATGGAGCCTGCAGACCTCTCAGTCAAGCAGTCCCCAGCGATGAGCTACTTGCATTTCTTGACCGTGACTACACCCTGCTTATGAATTGCAAATTCTCTGATAAGAAACCTCAATTCTCTCATTAAAATACCCAAAATAGTGTTCCTCTGCTATTGAAATGAAACACCATTACATATAGAGAGGGCAATTTTTATTGATATATTTGGGCAATGTTGGGCAATTTAATATTGATAAATTTACAAGTATAAAGCAATTTGGAGAGAGGTTGGGGAGTTTTGGGTTGGTGTAGGATTTGTGGAGGTGAGGTTAGGGGGGCATGGGCCTGGTGCAGAGGTTTGTGGTTTGTGGCTGGGTATATGGGTGAGGGGTTTGTGGAGGTGGCTTGAGGATGTGGGTGTTATGGGTGGATTGGGGGGGACTGTGGGTGTGGGGGGCTGTGTGGGGAGGGCTACCCAGGAGGGGTGGGTCCCCTTCTCCCCCACAGGGAGAAGCCCCCGCTCACAGCACACAGACTACCCCCCCTGCAGGGCCGAAAGCTTCCCCACAGGACCCACATACACCCCCACAGGGTCATCATGCACCCCACAGGGCCCACATGCACTTCAACATGGCCCCATCCCTTCCCTGCAGGGTCCCAGCCCCCTCCCCTGCAGGGCCTACAACTCACCCCTGCAGCAGCAGTGGCCATGGGGCACTTAGAGTCCACTGCAGGTAGAGCCCCCAGTGGCGTGGCATGGCCCTGATGGGCTCAAAGCCAGCACTGCTTGTGCTGCCTGTCTCAGGATCAGCCTGGCTTGGTGCGATGTCATGTGGGGCCGTGCCACTTCAGGCAGCACCGGGGCTGCTCAGGTTGTCACCCATGGCCCTGTACCACTTGTGGGGACTGGGTATCTTGCTGGGCCAGGTCCTGCCTCTAGCAGCAGCACTGCCAGACACATGGTGAGTGCAAGTAGACAGCGCATGGTGGGACCCGGCCTGGCACGGCATGCTAGCATGACTTTGCACAAGAGCAGAAGGCACAACTCCAGGACATGCAGCTCCTGTGCAAAGACATGTTAGCTGCACAGCCCTGGCCGGGCTGGCGGGGCCCATTTTCCATGAGGCTTAGGTGGTGATGCACCATGGCCTGTTGTAGACACAGTGCGGCAGCCCTGTATTGCTGCCTGAGCCTCATGGAAAATGCCCTGCTGGCCCGACCAGACTTGACCTGACTCAGGCTGTGCAGCTAGCTCGCCTTTACACAGGAGCCGTGTGTCTGGGAGCTGCGCCTTCTGTTCCTGTGCAAAGGCATGCTAGTGTGCTGCTCTGTGCTGGGCCAGGTTTGGTCCCACCACACGCTTTGAATGGACCCGGCCTGGCCTGCTAGCACATGTTCAGCATGTACAGAGCCCAGGTTACACAGCTCCACATCGCCGCTGGCTATGCCTGCAGCCAGGCCACAGCTATTCTGGCTGCTGCCAATG